GAAAGCTCCGGAGGGAGACGACAATGGTAGAGCAAAGAGACGACCGGTGCAGAGCAACAAATCGAAGAGCACTCTTCCGAGATCAAGGAACCTGAAATGAAATCAAAGAAACAAACCCCCTAAAACAGATCCATCAGAAATTGAATACCTTTGTATTTAGGAGCCTTAACTATATTTAGTTAGGACGTGAGAATAGATTGATTTACACCATCGGTACAATAAGCAAAGATATTGCTAGTACGAAAACAGCATTATTCGATCATTTTAACGCCTTATCAGTGCACACAATTGCTTTTTTTGCATGCTTCTTTGCTTGAAACCTAGCAAACCTTTGGAAGCGTAAAGGCTCAAAGTCTTTGCTCATTTTGGGAAAGAGGTACAAATAATCAAGTAATGAGAACCTTGTCCCTTGAGCTTGTGTTTTCACAGATATTGCTTAATGCAACAAGTAAAATTAGACATACAACTAATGAGATTCTTGCCATTTTATTACTAAAGAAATAGAATATAAACATGGTAAAATTATTATTATTAATAAAATATTATCATGAAAGTATTTATAAAATATTAATGAGAAAAAATCATAATTCTAGCACATATGAAAACTCTAACGAAACATTCCATATATACACTTCCTTTTCTCACAAAGAATCCCACTTCTATTTTATTTTTAAAAACATCTCCACTAGGAGTTCTCCAAAAAATAAAGCAAAACTATATAAAAAAATAGTATTTTTATTGACAATGGATGAAAGACCTATGAAAATCTTTCATTTGAGAGTCTCTCTCCACAAAAAGTTGATATCTCTCACTTTATAATTGGTTTCCATTTTCTATGATAAATTATATTCTTTATAGTTTAGAATATTAATTAAATAGTTTATATATTATTTTTTTTATTTTTTATTAATCATAAAATAAATTTATCTATATATCAAGCTTAATTATGCATAAATTTAAATTATATATTAACATTAATATATAACATTAATTTAAATTATATATTAACATTAATAAAATAAATTAATATATAATTTAAAATTTTTTTTATCAACCGCTTATTTAGGTTTTTATTTGGGTGAATTTGTTAACTAACCAACAAAAAAAATTATAATTAAGTTCTAATCAAAAGTGGCATATGTGGCCAAATTTGTAACCATCGGATCCAATGGAATTGGTTAGATGGTTAATTATGTTTTTTTGTAGTTATTCAACATAATTTCCCTTTTTATTTTAGATTTTTGGGTCAATTTGCTAATTAACCAAAAAAAAAATTATAATTAAAAGGTAGCCAAAATTACTATATGTGGCAAAACATCAACCATTAGATCTAGGTTATTTTGTTAGAATTTTAGTTATACTTTTTTTATGGTTATTCAACCTAATTTCCTTTGATTTTATGGTTAATTACTGGTTTTTTGTTTTGTTTTGTTCCATGTCAAAGACTCAAAGTTATGGAATGTTGGAATATGTGAACTACTTAGCGTTGGCTAATGTTTGGGATCAAAGTTGTATTTTTGATGAACATTTTTCTTTGATTGATATACAATTATACATCTTTTCTCTATCATTCCTTGAAACTGATAATACATCTTACATGAGTTTTGATTTGGTTCTGACTTTTAAGAAGTGGAAAAACTTGCAATTTTACAACCTTACATATCATGAAGAACCTTCCTAATAACAACCTATAAATCTCGAAATATATCAAATCCCAGGAGTTGTATTGCCTCATGAATCTTATGAATGTATGGAGTCATCATCAACAACACAAATGTACACTAAACCATGAAAAGAGACAACCTTTTGAGTTTGTTATGTCTGAAAAGATAGCAAATTTGATAAAACTAAGGAAATGATTCAGATAATGCAACAAAAACATTAAAGATTCTACTCAAACCCAATGATTCTCTTCAATCCAGGAAACAAGCCAGAAAACGAAGACATTGAAGACATG